ATTCCAGAGACATATTGCATACACACCTAAGTGTGTACTTAAATCACACACAAACACAATCACATTCAGTGGCTTATCTCCTGGAAAGAGAAAAGGGGCTTGTCAGGATGGCACATTGTATGGGCGAGTGTATGTGTGTGAATGTGTGTTAGTGTGAAAGGCAATGTGCATTAGGGCGATTACAATATCAGCCAATTCCAGATGGAGGCAAGAAAATAAACAGTGGTTGAGAGTGCAAGTGAGCTAAGGGACAGACATTGTGCGAAGGAGGCTAAGAGAGAGATTCAGGATATGTGTGTGTGTGTGTGTGTGTGTGTGTGTGTGTGTGTGTGTGTATGGGGGGGGGGGGTTGGGGGGGGATACAGTGGGAGAAAGTAAAGTTAATTAGCACCTCAACTCCAGTCAACATTCAGTGGCCAGACTGTAGAGTAAATGTGAGATTATATTCATGCTTATATCCTCTACCTATATACAGGTAGTTTCGGAGCTTAAAATAAAAGAGGTGGCCGGCCTAAATTATTAGCAAACTAAGCAGTTGTTATAGGGCCTTCAGACCAACAGGGGTTTATGGCTCAGTTATGTTTGACGCTCACACATTCCATGTGAAAGTGGACAACTCTACAGCTTTTATACTCATGCAGCTTTTTCCCCCGTACCTATTTTATTGGCCGGCTCTAGAGGAGTGTGTACAGCACAAGACTGCAAGCTTGAAACACGACACAATATGTAGAAGTAGTCACAATCATTTCTTTCCAGATTTTCAAAATCAGTTAATCATAGTGATATTTATGGGCCAAATCATAAGATGTCAGTAGATGCTTATATTTTGCCAACAATCACAAGTAAAAGGTGTCACTTGAACATGACAAATTTTCCTAAAATCATGGTGCCAAAAGTCAGGATGTGCCGAATGTGCAGTCATAAACCATGCCTTAAATAGAGCACTAGTGCCCCTATTGAGGTTACATAGAAATGTCAATATTTTTGAACAAATAATCGCACCGACACTGAAAGTTAAGTAAAACGAGGTATAAGTTTGTTTTCTCTGCCTGCAAGACAGTGAAAAAGAGTAAAATTTAAAACAGATGGAGATGGACACATTTCAGGAAACTTGCCTTTTTTGTTTTCCTTTTTGGCTTTCATGAAATCCTGTGCAACTTTATGTTTAAAACAATATGTTTAACCTATCCTTTAAAAACCTCAGCTGTTTTACGCCCCACATGTCTACACTCTTTACTCCACCTACAATAAAGAAATAAAGACAACCTCACACCCCGTAAACGATTATTTTGGGGAAATTCTAGCGACTATATGTGTGACTTTTAAATTAAAAACTGTATTAGCTTTATAAGTTGAAATATTTCTATCAAAAACAAGAAAAACATTTTAATAAGTTTAAACTTGATCGTAATCAATCACGAGCTCTGTCCAGAAAACTACACCTCCCAAATATCAAATGATAACAGGAAGGCTAAGAAACTCTCCGCCTTTCGACCCTTCAATCTTGAGAAGCTGACCGTATTTTGGAAATCTCACGGTTAAGGTTTACACTATTTAGGAAAAATAGAAGGAGACTGCTGTTTTAACAGTGTTAATAACTCCACTAAATGCAAATATAAGACATGAATGACAACTTGTCTTTTATTTAGGTTTAAAATCATAAAAAAACATTTTCTCTTTTCAATCATCTCTCTTACCCAATGTGATTTCACCCCTACTCCTTATATAAATTATTGATTTACCTTTGAAGAAATATTAAGATCTTTGCCCCCATACCTTATATTTTAATTGAAAAAGAGAAATCAGGTTTGACAAATATGGCTATCTGCAGCTAAAAACAATAAAACGACAGAAAACAATAGTTCTTTGATATCTTCAGTCGCTGCCTCCTCTGTCTTATAGCTTCTTTGCCATAAAAGTCCAACATAATCTGGAGTTAAAACCTGAATGAGGTCAATAACACAAGTTGGTAGTGCTTGCTGTTCATACTGAACGCAAAAAAAACCCACAGTAAATGGCCACCTACAATGGAACAAAGACTTCAACGTTCTCTCACACACTTCACAAATGCTGCTTTCAGACACACATATACGCATTCTTACCTGCAACTCCTTTTTTATACCACTGCTTTCACGGCTGATGAAATTCAATAAGCAGAGAGGAGAACTGCCCTCTCGCTGATAACCATCAATCGGCTTATTGATCTACAATGGGAAGGGGTGTGTATGGGAGCGTGCGCTGTGATTACATCTATAATTCACTCTGGGACTTGGTAACAGACGGCTCTGAATAATAACAGATCTATACATCTTGAAGGAGTGCAGATAACAGTGGTTTTAGTGGCCAGTTCAGCAGGTGACATATGGCCCACTGACAGCACTTCTATAACTCAAGTCGTTGAAGCTTTGTCTGCTTTAATACTTTAGGTTAGTTTGATTCTAAAATTCAAAATACAATTTTGAGGTTTTTAAGATATGCCTATGCTAACCTGCAAGACAGGCATACCAATTCCAGAAATAGTGAAGCAGAAGACAAACAAGCAACCGGATTAAAGGACACTAATTTGCTGTTGCACTTACGAGTATTTTAACAAAGGAAGGACTTTGTGAGTCTGCATCCTCGAATATAGAAACAAATCCTAAAACAAAAGACAATCGCACAACCAGAAGGAGAACGTGTGATGCAATCCCAGCTGATGGAGAAAAGCTCACAAGCTTGAGGATCGACTGAGTCAACATCCCTTATTCACCATGCAGCAAACCTGGACCACGTCCAAGCGTCTGTGTGTCACACTTAAAAGAGGCGCTTTGTAATTACATTACAGAGCTGGAGCTTCAGTGCGACTTCAGTGCTGGAGGGGGAAATATGTGTGCATTTTATTTCCATTTTGGAATAATAGTAATTCATGTCTGCTGGTGTGATCTGAAAGCTTTGTTTGGATTCAACACAAACCACTAGAAATCTATTAGCTGTGGTTAACATCAGAAAGCGGCAAACAAATAAAGGAAGGAGGAGGGAACGTGAATTATCAAGGGGTGGGGGGGATGTCGGGGGTTGGGGAGTCATCTGCACAGCAGATTGAGTGAGAGTGCAGGCGACGCCACAGTCTTTTTCTGCATATGAGTGTGGCTCTCTGGCTGTGTGTGCGAAGGCGAGAATAAAATGGCCTCCATCGCTCTTTCTTTTTTTTTTTCTTGTGTGTGAGCAGTGGTCTGATGCGTTTGACCCTGTAGCCTCGGAGTTGGAGGAGGAGGGAGGAAAAAGTGTGTGTGTGTGGGGGGGGGGAGAACAGGTGTGAGGCAGGCTGGTGGCTGGGCAGATGGCCCCTAGAAGATGCTGCAGAGGATGGACCACAGAGCAGCATGGCTTTAATGCAAGCCTTCCGGGTGTAAACACACTCGCTTTCACACGTGCGATCACAGCACTTCTCATTTATTCTCCACATCATCTCTGTTTGCCTTTCATTCGCAGCTTATTTCTCTGATGTTTTGCTCTCTTTTTCCCTATCTGTAAGCAAACACAACTGCGCAATATAGGCACCAGCCCCTTCTCTCATGTCACAGCCAATTGTGGTCCAGAATTTCTACAAATACTCATTTTGATTATTCTAAAACAGGAGTTTGCATGTTCTCTCAATGTATGAACACATTTTATATGGATCCCTCTCATAAAAAACCCATAACCATAAGGCTTTTAAGTTACTCAAAATTAACCCTAGGCATGAGGGGTCATTGTGATGCCCAGAGGGGGCTGGCAACATGTCTATAAGTACCCAACACACAATAAACGACAGCTTGCTCCTCAAGGTTATTGAGTGTAGACAAAATGGATGGATGGATGGATGGATGGATGGATGGATGGATGGATGGATGGATGGATGGATGGATGGATGGATGGATGGATGGATGGATGGATGGATGGATGGATGGATAGGTATCTTTCTCCATATATATTTTTTCTTGTCCAGACATAGAAAAATGTTTAAATAAAATTCGATACTTTTCTAAAGTGCATCAGGAAGCATCTTATAAAAACCTGAGTATCAAGTGTGCTGAATGTAAGCAGCAGAATATCATTTGTTTAATTTAGGTCAGTAAAAATAAAAATATGTGTAACTCCATTGGACAATAAAGATGCGTTTAAATGCTATTGGAGGCTTCTGGTCCCATATTTAGGAAAAAAAAAAAAAAACCAGTGGTGTGGTTCCTTAGCAGATATTTCCTCCCTCTCTAGTCTGAGCCGTGAGAACAGTCTGCTGTATCTGCAGCAGGTTGAGCCAGAGCAGCTTCACGCCCTGTAAACCCGCATTTCTGCGCTTTTCCCAGCCGAAGCAAAAAAAGATTCCGACTGGAGGAAAAATAAATAAAGCCCAGCCTTTAATTTCAAGACTTGACAATTTGGTTAAAGGGAAGGTAGAGAAAGAGACGTGAATAAAAATAATTCCTGTTATGAATGACAAAGCTTTATGAAGGTGAGAAGGAAAACTTCACAAGGGTTTATTGGAGAAGATGCGCTCCAAGAAAAACAAGGAAAGAAATAAGTTTCTAGATATTAATCATAAAGAAACCAGTAAAAATATATCATCCGTTTTCTTCTTTTCTACCAAAACATCCACAAAACTAGATGGTGTTTAAAAACATTATATACAAATGATAACGCCTCAGTTGAATGTCGAACATGCCTGCTGCAAAAAAAAAACATATGAAAGCAGAGGGCACAATTTAAATAATCTGTAATATAGAGTTATGCTTAATCGCTGCAGCCTTCTGGCCGAAATCAATTTTATGGAGACAAAATAAAATGTATCAAGTGAGCAGAAACTCTTTGTTCGCATGCATGTGTCAGCTACACAGCAAAACACCTATTTGTTTTCATTAATCAGGATCAGAAAGCTCAATAAATGCACCAGAAATAGAAAAGAATTAACTAAATATTTCCCTGCATAGTTTGTGTTTATTTGCAGTTGTTCTGTCAACATCCTAAAAGGAGCGCTTACTTACACTGAAAGGAGACAGAAATTCCCACCATGCGGTACTGCGGTGTGTGCGGGATTAATAATTTCCAGTCTTTATCGTGCGGGGATCCGCCGCCTGTATCGGGAAGATGAAAACTGAAACGTCCGGCCAGCTCTCGGGATCTTCCTCGGGTTCCTTCCAGCGGCTAAGAAAAGGGATTGAAAGTCCCAGAAAAAAGGCAGAAAATAAAGAAGCGCTCCTGGATTCTAGGAGACAAACACCGGGGAGGAATGAAGGAGCCGAGATGCGAGGGGAGGATGCTGAAGGCTGCTTTCTTTCTCTGTTCTGTTTTCTTCCCACTTTCTTTCAAATTCCAATAAGCTTCTATATTCTGGAATTCAACCAAAAGTAGGTCTAGATGCTTTGCGGATGAGAGATGAACTCGGGTTTGTTGGAAACTGCGTCTACCTCAGCGTAGGGGAGAGGAGTAGCGGCGCTCTGCCTCCAGTCGGCGGTGCGCAGCAGAGCCAGGTGGAGAGGGGTGGGACTGAGGAGCTGCTGAGGAGGAGAAGGAGGAGGAGAGAAGACAGCAGCCTGCTTCTGTTTGTCCTAAAACAGGTTGGGGAAAAAAGCTGGGTCACAGCAAGTCAAGGTGTTTGTCATGTGAATTAAACCTGAAGCTCTTTTCTAATCTAAGGGATATCATTTTGAGTTGATTCAAGGCAATGTGTCCAGCATTGTAAAAAATAAAAATAAAAGGTCAATTTTTGTTAAAATAAGTGCATTTTTCTCTTGAATTGAGAAGGTGAGACACTTTGCCAATGGAACAAGACAATTTAAATCTAAAATAAGGGGGAAAAAATACAATTGCACTGTCTTATTTCAACATTTTAAGAGAGAAAATACTAATTCCGTTGGGAAATAATCTTATTTACCTGCTCAAATTAAGGGTACATACGCTTAATGTAAGAAATGTTGGCTCATTTTTAGATCATTTTTGCAGGGTGATAATATAGTTGTACACTCAATACACATTTTTCTGATATATTTTGAAACCATTAAGCTATTTTGATGCCTCATCCAATACATTTAGGTGAGAACAACATAATAAAAGTCACTGTCAGATATGCCACTGACAGCTTTTCACAAGACTGAGACTTTTTTCCTGATTCTCCATGGGAATTCTTGAGTTTTTGTTTACCAAAAAAAAGTCCCCTCCATTTTCACATAAATTATGATCAACTGCCCTGTCTCTATTCTGAAGAATATTTCCACAGCATGTTGCTGCCACCATCATTATTTACAGTTGTATCTTTTGGCTTTTAGGCACACTGGTCATTGTTTGTTTTCTCCAAACTTTTGTATGTAACTAACAGAATTTAATTTTGGTATCTTGTGTTGTTTGTTTGTTTTTTGTGTGTAAAAATGCAAACACAACTTCTTATGGTGTTATTTCAACAATCACTTTCTTGTGGTTCTAGCAACTCTTCAATAAAGTACAGATATGTGGAAAGAATGACTAATAATTTCTCTCACCAGATGTTCTACCTGAGCTGTACATCTCTCCAGCTCCCCAATACTTACATAAGACATCTTGGCTGCTTTTCTGATAAATGCTCAAAAATTACCAATAAGAAAGTATTCCATATTATGCTACATTTTAAAATGAAAATATAATAAATGAAAATATTAACCCCATGCATGTTTTTGCCATTTGTGCTGGAAAATTAGATTAGATAGCCTCTTCCAAAAATGTCCTTATTAAGCCTCTATAGAGGACTCTTAAGGACGAGCTATTTTGGTTTTTCATGCCCCTGTCCTCCAAAGGCTGAGTCCCCACAACCATGATAACCAGTCAGAGTTCGTAGATAGCATAGGAGCGTGTAATAATACAGTAGATGAAGGCTGTAGCTTGACCGATGCCTGCTACAGATCCCTCTGGATAGCTTACTTCCCCTTATGACATCATAAAGGGCACGCTTTTCAAACAGAGCATTTTGAGCACACATTAGCTAAGAGGTGGAGGCAGGCAAAGGTATTTTCTCAATTGTGAACCTCATACAGAGGCTTCAGGACACATAAAAAATGTGGATTGTTCATAATACAGGATCTTTTTAGTAATTTCGTAATTGTAACAAAGCATCAGTTTAGCTTGCCATGGAATTATAATCCATGTTAATCATGACAAAAAACAGACTTAGCTTTTTTCTTGACTTATATTTAAAATGTTAATTTCTTGGAATAAATTATCACAAGTGGTAAAAGTTGTATTTCACTCCAGACATTATTCAAAGGTGTTTCTCTCTCTCTCTCTCTCTCTCTCTCTCTCTCTCTCTCTCTCTCTCTCTCTCTCTCTCTCTCTCCACTCATTTGAACCCTCAGTGATCCTTGGATCCTCCTCAGAAGTAGGCTACTTGCAAGCACAACACTGGTGTTATAGACCAAAACCTTAAAGCCGAATGTCTGGGCTCGCCGTGTGAGTGTTTGGAGAAAAAAATTAAATATTGGACTGCATGATGCATGTCTGGATTACCCCAGAACGCCCCCCAACACACACACACACACCATCACACATCTTTGCCTGTGCAGAAAAACTCCCAGGCAGGCTGGCCTGCTGTAACCCATCGCAAACACTTTCCCTAGACCATCTGGAAGTCATCTCGCCTGCAGAGCCCGTGAAAGCGCAGAGCAGAAGCTACGTTTACAACTCAGTGACAACAACCGCTTCTCTTGAACTGCATGGCTGAACAAGTCATGCACCACTGTCTGTTCACAACATGTCATCAAACCTTTCAGTGTACTTGTTTTATTTGACCATTACATTGCAGTATATACCTCATCTTCTAGGCTAAAGATAGAACCATAAGAAAAATATATTAAGTAATGAACAAAGTTGTTTTTTTTTGGATTATAAGGCCATATAAAAATATCTTTTTCCTTGTGTACAATATTTAAAAACCTGTTTTCAGCTCACTGATGTGGAGCACACTGTCTACTCAGCACTCTCTCTGTAGGGGATAGATGATGCCATTAATGGTAATTGTTTGCAATTGTGTCATAGTACATTTCCTTTCCTATTTCAAGTTTCTCTTTTCTTCATCCCTCCTTTGTCATTCTTTAAGAGCTTAACTGGTAGGTTACATTACAAGGCAGCTTTGATTGATATCGTCTCTAAATCTCCACCTGTAACTTCATTTTCATGTCGAGCTCCTTTTTTCAACTCCTAACAAAGGCAGTGCTTTTCCCTGCCTTGCAAAAGTGTTATTATTAATCCCCTTTCAGCTTTTTCTTCATTTAGTTCCATAACAGCTACAAACTTTAAGGAGTTTTCTGTGGATTTTATAGAACTGATTATTATAAAGTAGTGCAAACTTCTGAAACAATAGGAAAATGAGACTCGAATTTAAGTGTTTTTGGCATGCGCAACAGTCATTCCCATGACTTAATAGCTTCAATGCAATTACAGTTGCAGGTCATATTGAATAAATCTCCACCAAGTTGCTTTTAAATAGACTCTTTTTATAAAAGCTTATGCCTGGTCAGCTCTGAAGGAAAGTAGTGGGTGTAGGTGTGCTAGATATTTTGAGTTGAAATCTAGCTAAGGTCATTCCAGCATATGATTAGAACCATCAATGAAAGATGCAACAACTTATTCATCGAGGTATTTATTGTTGGCACAAATATTTTCATTTATTCGTGCAGTGTTCACAATTAAAAAAATGCATATTTGTTGTGTGATTCTTTTTATTTGTTAATTTTCTTTGCATAATTCTCTTTTATATCATTTTAAGAAGGCGAGTAAAAATATTGTTAGAATTTCATTGCGTACTATAGCAATCGTTCAGCTTGCTATGTACATGAAAATAGTCAACTTGAATCTTAAATTCTACCGTAATTCAGGCTGCATGTTGAGCACCTTTGTATGGAGCTAGATCGGTCTCAGTTTTCACAAATACACATACGTGTATATATACACGCACAGGACAAGATCCACACATGGACAGATTGATTCCCTCAAGCACAAAAAATCCACAAAGACACAGAACAATATCCACACATGCATAAAACGATTCTTGCAAGCACAAAAAATCCACACAGACTCAGAACAAGATCCACACATGCACAGAATGATTCCCTCAAACACAAAAAATCCACACAGACACAGAACAAGATCCACACATGCACAGAATGATTCCTGCAAGCACACAAGATCCACACATGCATAGAATGATTCCTGCAAGCACACAAGATCCCCACGCAAAAGAACAAGATCCACACATGCACAGAATGATTCCCTCAAGCACAAAAAAATCCACACAGAAACAGGACAAGATCCACACATGCATAGAAAGATTCCTGCAAGCACACAAGATCCACACACACACAGAACAAGATCCACACATGCACAGAACAAGATTCAACAAAGTATTTCTGGTCCATGAACAGTTATAAATTAAGTAAAAAAGCACCTGTGGTCTTTAAACTTCATTGCATTTGTGTGTGGATTTTTGAGACTCCCCTGACATGCCTCAAAACACAAATGCATTTTCTTAAACAGACAATGGTTTGCTACCAATCACAAAGCTCCCCTGTATAAGCCAACCATGAGAAAGCAAGAAAAAACTCCACGTTGGATGACTTACCCCCAGAGTGTCCTACCAACAGCAACACCAACAACATCTTGTTCAAACACTGCTCATGAGTGACTGCAACATTTAATTTCCCTTTGGGAATAATACATAATTTTCCAATTGAAACTAAATGTAACAGTGTTTCCACTCTTCCACTGTGGCCAGATTTATATATATATATATATATATATATATATATATATATATATATATATATATATATATATATATATATATATATATATATATATATATATATATATATATATATATATATATATATATATACACTATATTGCCAAAAGTATTTGCTCACCCATCCAAATTATTGGAATCAGGTGTTCCAATAACTTCCATGGCCACAGGTGTATAAATTCAAGCACCTAGGCATGCAGACTGTTTTTACAAACATTTGTGAAAGAATGGGTCGCTCTCAGGAGCTCAGTGAATTCCAGCGTGGAACTGTGATAGGATGCCACCTGTGCAACAAATCCAGTCGTGAAATTTCCTCGCTCCTAAATATTCCACAGTCAACTGTCAGCTGTATTATAAGAAAATGGAAGTGTTTGGGAACGACAGCAACTCAGCCACGAAGTGGTAGGCCACGTAAACTGACGGAGCGGGGTCAGCGGATGCTGACGCGCATAGTGCGAAGAGGTCGCCAACTTTCTGCAGAGTCAATCACTACAGACCTCCAAACTTCATGTGGCCTTCAGATTAGCTCAAGAACAGTGCGCAGAGAGCTTCATGGAATGGGTTTCCATGGTCGAGCAGCTGCATCCAAGCCATACATCACCAAGTGCAATGCAAAGCGTCGGATGCGGTGGTGTAAAGCACGCCGCCACTGGACTCTAGAGCAGTGGAGACGCGTTCTCTGGAGTGACGAATCGCGCTTCTCCATCTGGCAAT